TGGGAGTCAGAAAATATGTTGTTGCCTTTGTTTTTATGGGAAACAAAAGGTTATGGTTCTCTTCAAAATTAACAAAGATCAGATTTGATGAGGGTATATTACCTAAGAATCTTGGATATAGACATGAGGGAAAAAGCCAAGAAAGACTATAGGACAGGCAATGTATATGCTGGTAACCTCAACATGGGAACAACTCTGAGACTGGATTTGACATGATAAAGTTTTTTGGCTACAGAGTTTTCATGACTTATTATTACATGTCATTCTTTCATAGGGTATAAATAAAGGTTTGGTTAGCCAGTTCAAACAAACTTAAAAAGTTAACAGATGCCTTTTACCTGTTCAAATGTGAAATAAAACCATCTTTAAATGATTTGTGTATACTCCATATTAGTGTTAATGCAGGTATATATGTTACCTTTAAAAGTTTATGAGTTTTCACAACAAAAGAGCCAGACACAAATAAGGACAAGTATCCCATGTGATCTAGCCTCTCAGAATGCCTCTGTTACAGTTTCCTCAAAATTCTGCATCCCAAAAAACACCAACACTGCTGCCTGGGATAACTCAGAGTTATAGTTCAGTATTTGAATACTTTTCCATTTGGTAGAACAGTTTTGGAAGAATTAGTAGGTATGGCCTTTTTGGAGGAGGTTTGTGTACTGGGGTCAAACTTCAATGTTTCAAAAATTTTAGCCATTGTCACTGCTTTCTTTCTTGCCTCCAACTTGATGATCAAGGAGTAAGCTTTCAACAGTTACTTCCAACAAATCTTTGCTCTGCTTTCATAGATGTCTGAAAAAGTAAGCCTCAAATTATATGCACTCTTTTATAATTTATGTGATTTATGACAGTACTAAAACTGTTACTAAAAGATAAGTTGGTATTAGGGACTTGAATATTGTTGTTACAGTCCTGACCATGATGTTTTAAGGGTGGGATATAGAAGACTTTGGGACTTTGGACTAAGAAAGTGTTTGAACACTCTATGCAATGTTTAATTGGCAATCCCAGTAGAATCTTAGAAGAAATAGTTCTGACAGCAATGTGAACTAGAGAATCCCAACTCAAGACATTTTAGAGGGGAACACTATTAGTAATTGGGCTACAGACCATTCTTGGAATTTTTCACTAAGAATGTAACTACTTTCTGCCCTTGTCCTAAGAAATTTGCTAGAGGGTAAATCAAAATGTAATGGACTAAATTTCTTGGAAAGGGAAATTTCAAGACATCCTAATATTGCCTTTGTCCTATGGCTATTAACAAGTCACTCTTTTTCAGGTTTACAATAAAACAAGACATGTGGAACAGAAAAGAAATACAAAATATAAAGTTTAGGGAGAAAAATATTACAAAGAAATTTGATATTGGGGCTTTGGTTTGTGTTGGAAGAGATAATAAAATTAAAGAAAAGCCTGAGTTGAAATGAAATAAATGGAAGGAAACCTATGGGACAATAACCCACACAGCTAAACGATCAACTACAAAAAAAGGTCCCTGAGGAATTTTCTATTCTGTAAGAACAAAAACAAAAGAAAGCTGCTCCAAATGTGATTCAATACAACTGGGGTCTATCTCAACCAGTCAGTTGAATTTGACAGTTTTTCCATATAGTTCTTGTTTAGAATCATGAAAGAGTCATAAGTAAAGGGATTGTGGAATCTTCCTCTCCAGCTAAACAGAACTCTGAGAACAACCATGTGGCAAGGGCCCCTTTTGTAGAAGTCCTAAGAAACCATTATGTACAATGTGTAAAGTTTTAACAATGAAGACTAGATTTCATTGGAGACCCAAGGAAGTTGAAGTTTGCCAAGCCATGAGACATCTGCTCAGGATAATCACAGGCAGGGTGTAGAATTAGTCCATGAGAAAGCAATGTGGTACGGTCAGCAAAGCCAGGAAGGCAGAGCCATCTAAAGCCTTTGACTTTAGATATGGAGCTATGAGAGTTGGTGTTTGCTTTGCTGGGTTTTAGCCATTGTTTGATTAAACATTTCCTAACTATGATCCTACTCCCCCATTTTTAATGGTAATGTATACTCTGTGTCTTTTTATGCTGGAAATGTTTAATTTGCTTTTTGATTTCACAGAGGGTTACAACTGTCTTGAGTGTCAGAAGATAGTTTGCAATTTTAAACTGTGTCAAGACTTAAAGACAATAATTAATTTTGGAGATCAACTACATGCATTTTACATGACTATATGGCCATAATTCTAAGGATGTCGGGGAGTGTAATGTGGTGGTTTTAATAAGAATAACCCCATAGGCTCATATGTTTGTTGGAATTGTATAGGAAGGATAAGAAGAACTGGCCTTATTTTAGGTAGTAGCAGATTTAGAGATTTCAAAATACTTGACGTATGCTCACTGTTCTCTCCCTGCCTCCAACCTTTGGATAAGAATGCAAGCTCTGAGCTATTCTTCAAATCATGTGCGGCGAGCTCCTCGGCCAGCGAGGAAGAACGACCACCACTCCAGGATTCTTCTCAGATCACACTTTATTGGAGCGCCTCTTGATTAAGGGAGAGCTGAAGGTGAGGGGCCCCGAGGACTGAAATGCAGCTGCTTATATAGGGAATCAGGCAAACGTGCCGTACTGTGATTGGGTCCCGCCAGAATGCAAGCACGGGGAGCCACGGGATAGGCTGAGGACATAAGGTTGATTACCATACCCGCGCATGCGCAGGTCACAGGACACGTAGTCCTGAGAGCATAGCCAAATATGGAGTTGTTTACAACTAGGCTACCAGGAAGTCAGCACCATCTTAGAATGGCGGCTTCCTACAATCATGTATTTTTGTTCCATCATGGATTATAATTCTGTGAAACTGTGATCCACAAATTAAATGTTCTCTTTTCTATGCTTCCTTGGTAATAATATCTTATCACAGTAACAGAAATGTAAGTAAGAATTTTAGGATTAGGAGACCATGAGTGGTAAGTAACTGGGAATTTGATTTGTAAGTATTTTTAATTAAGATTAATTATTATTAGATTCAATTATGTGTATATGTTTGTGTTTCTGTGGGGATATCTCTTCATGAGTACACATGATTGTGGAAGTGAAAGGCCTTAGATTCCCTGGAAGAATGATCCACATGATTTGTTTCTTTAAACTGAGTTCAGTTTCTCTGTAAATTCAACACACACTCTTAACTGCTTACTCACCTCTCCTTCTCAGAAGTATTCTGTCTAGATATTACATCTGTTTAACTGCGTCCAGTAGACATGTAGCTTTGTTCACTGCCATATCGCTCTAATTCCTACAATCCAAGTGCAATTTGACTAATTTCCCATACACTGAAACTTCTGAAACCATAAGCGAAATCCTTTCCATCCTTGATGATCTATAATCAGTATATAATTCCTGACAAGTAACATTGGAATTTCTCAAAAGTTTATTAAAAATCAAGAGCCATTTCAAGTTATGATTACCAATTGAGAAGAAAAATTTATTAGTGAAATTTTATGATAAAAAGTGACTTAGCATTCTGATTGAGGTAACCCAGACCCGGAAACACAAACATGGTATGTACTCACTCATAGTGATTATTAACTATAAAGTAAAGGATAAGCATTCCACAATCCTTAGACTTACAAAGGCTAGGTAACAAGTATAGCTCTCCAAGGGATGGGGAAATAGAGGATATCTTCTTGTTGGACTGGGTCAGGTGGACAGGGGAACTTGGGGGGTTACATTTGGGGATAGGCAGCAGGGGAAACTTCCGAGAAATATGACTGAAAATGCAGGTTTTATAGAATCAGGTAGAAGCCTGATGCACAGAAACTTCTGTGAGTCTACAAGGCTGGCCCCAGCTAAGACTCCTGGCAGCAGTAGAAGCATAGTGTGAATGGGCCAAGCCCTATGATCAGATTGATGACTACCCTGGTTGTCATCAGATAGCCTTCATCCAGTGACTGATGTAGTTAGGTTCAGAGACCCATGACCAAACACTAGGCCAAGCTTGGGGAGTCCTACTGAGGAGAGGTAGGAGGGATTGTAGGAGCCAGGAGGGAAAGGGGCATCAGAGGAATGTTCACAGAAATGGCTAACCTGGCTCATGGGAACTCAGTGAGTGTGAACTAACAATCAGTGAGCCTGCACGGGACCAACATAGACCCTGTGCATATATGTAAAGGTGTGTAGCTTGATCTAATACTGTGACTCCCAAAAATGGGAACAGGGGCTGTCCCTGGTGCTTTGGCTGGCTCCTAGAAACCTATTCCTCATGCTGGATTGCTTTACCCAGCCTGAATACGGGGGGGAAGTGCTTGGTTTTCTGGCAGTTGACAAGTCACGCCTCGCTGATGCCCATAGGAGCCCTGCCTATTTCTGAGAGAATAAGAAAGAGGATTGCATTGTGGAAAGATGGAGGGAAGGTGGGGGGAGGAAGTGGGAGCAGAGGAGGGAGAGGAGGCTGTGGTTGGGCTCTAAAATAAATAAAGAAATTAATAAAAATATTGAAAAATTGATTGAAAATGAGATTATGAAACACTAAGTTGTCTTGAAACTATATATGATATATATATGTGTGTATATATATATATATATATATATAATAAGCTAGTAGATTTATATGAAGCTTCTTTTTCTTTTTCTTTTGGATCATATAGATCAGCTTTATTCAAAATTGACTATACACAACTGTTAAGAAGGTAATGAATTAAATACATAAACTGAAGACTGGGACTCAGAAAATATCCAGTTTCTCTTTGTGGTATATTGTTATAATTAATTACATAATAGATTTTCTAATTACCTTAAAATGTATCTTATTTATACTTAAATATGTTTTATGTATCACAAATTTTAACAGTGGAGGAGGCCATATATTTAGAGTTAGTGGGTGCACACATTAGAATTTGGAGGGGTTGAAATAATTTAACTAAATTACTAATCTATGAAATTCTCAAAATTAAAAGGCAAAGTTAAATAACAACAACAAAGTTAGAATATCTTTATATCTCTAAATCTCAAACCAGGCCCAAGAGAGGAAAATGACATTGCCCAAAACCAAGATGGAAGGATGGATTCTGGTAAGTGAAAAGCAGCACACATATGTGCATGAGGAAGATGATATGTAAGTAAGGAGATACACGATGCTTAAAGTGGACGATTAATTTTCTCCATGGATACAGAACTCACCTGAGGTTGTCATATCTTCTAGAGTATTGGTCTTTATGGATTTACTCATCTTTATAATCCACAACACAATACCAAAGTTTGTCTAATGAGATGCTTTGTATATTGAATCCCTAGAGACGTAGTAGTTGTAAATCCTCTGATTTTACAACATGACTCATGAGACTTGGCTCAGCCATAAAACGTATTTTTGTATGCTCTAAGAGCTTTTGCTTTTGACAAAGAACTCAGAGTCTCACAAAGAGATGGTACCCTTCCTGACAATAGATATTCTTTGAGCACCCAATACCAGATTATTTGACTATTCTCCATTCCACAATGATGACAGCAAGGTAATACAGCATACTGGTGTTTTCTAACTTCTGATATATGAACCTGTGAAAAAATTCATGCAGAAGGTGAGCAATATGAAGTTGCCCAGAGAGACCTTACTAACTGTCCCATGTTTTCTGGTACCTTTGTAAAAATATACAATATTGCCCTCTTTCTAAAACAACATGAGCATTAATAGTTCCATCTTTAATGTCTAGTGTGCCCAAACTGTCTATATTTATTTGAATACTTTGGTAAGAAAGGAGAAAGATGATTTTTAGCTTTGCATTCTACTTTACTCACATTAAAATAAATCTCTATTCAGAAGAAATTGTTGTCAATTCAACCTGTAACCTATGAGAGCACTGTGGAATTGGGATGCAAGCACACACCAAGAAATCGATAGACCTATCTTCCTTCTTCATGACAAAATTATGAAATATTTAAATTGTAATAAGCACATGTATGTTGAAGTAATTAAAATTATCAACAACCTCAATTTTCAAGAGTTAGCATGCTGATGATATAAAAGAAAAGATATATACATTTTAGAAAAAAAGTATGCATCTTACAAAAGTCTACTCACACATTTTGTCCTGTTCTTGTTATTCTCCCAAGTTGGAGCATGGCATATGTTTTGTCCCTTATTTTGGAAATGTATTTCCTTACATATGGATTCTTTGTCCATATGTACTCATATAATAAAGAATGTGCATAAAAGATGGAAAACAGGAAAGAGCTTAATTGGAGAATTTATAAAGTAAAAATTTGTAGCTGGAAACTATATTGTGTTTATAATTAATAAAATAGAACTGAAGATATCAGTTTTAATTAAAATGTACAGTAAGTAAGACAGCTAATCCAGGTATGGTAGTGTACTTGGGACACAAAGGCAGGTCAATCTCTGAGAGTTCAAGCCCAGCCTGGTCTACACAGCAAGTTCAAGGACAGCCAAGACTGTTACATGGAGACACCTTGTCTTGAAACATACCCGCCTCCAAAAAAAGAAAAGAAAAAGAAATCTAATAATTGTCATACCTAGTACTCAATAATAAGCATTAAATACTTCTGTAGGTTTGATAAATACTTAATATATTTTTAGAAAATAATGGAATTTTAATTTCTTTTGGCTTTCAGTGTTGGCATTCACTCATAAATCTAATGCATTTTATTGTCCATTTATTTTACTTATAGCATAAAACACTGATGTTTGCACCTACTTCCTCATGACTAGTTTTCCCATGCTAGAAAATGAACCCATGATGTTCACTGCCAATAATATTCATAGCTATTGAAATCTCATATCTCTTTATATCTTTCATCCTGTGATGGAAAGATACAACATGGTATTAAGATATCAGGGAAAATCCCAATAGAAAAATGTGAGAGAGAACTCTTTGTGTTTAACAGTGTTCTGGCTGTTTTACTCAAGCTGGTCTATATGTGCTTATTTTTTCTCAATTTAATTCCAGCAACCTATAAGAATGGCAGTAAGAATTTTCAAAGCAATCATGTATAGAAGTTTTGAGTCAGACTGGGTGAATAAATTCCAAATAATAAATGATTTTTTCTGAGTGATAACTTTATTCTCTAAATAATGAAGGGATCCAAGTTAGAATGTCTATTGCTTCTCTTTTATTATGTGTTCATCTGCTCAGTGTTCCAACAAATTCTTGATATTCTCATGTGCATTTTTCCCTTATGATGTTCAAATTTTCTTCCCATTTGATTTTTTCTATTGGACAATAGGCAAATCTACTGTTGTCAGGAAAAAATGCCTTACTAAGGATATCCTGTTTTAATGATTTCTAATTATGTTTCTGTTTTTTGCTTTGTTTTGTTTTGTTGGTTGGTGTGGTTTTTTGAAACAGGATTTCTCTGGGTATCCCTGGCCATCTTGAAACTCCGTAGATCATGCTGCCTTCAAACTCAGAGATCCACCTGCCTCTGCCTCCCAAATACTTGCACTAAAGGCATGTACTATGATGCATGTTTCTGTTTTTACTATGATTAATAAGTTTGTTCTTCCACAACGTCATGTATTTACATAATGTATTAGGTTACTCTAACCTCCATACGTTATTATATATTTCCTGTCCCTACATTTGCCAACCTCCCACAGTACTCTTTCCCACATTAAGGCACATTATGATTCCTAAATATACAGTATTTCTTTGACAATTCATTCTCACAATTTTGCAAAATTAATGGGAGAGTTGATACTAAAACAATGAGTTGCTGAAAATTTGTGTTATCCAAAGTGGGGGGACAGAGTAGAAAAGATGGAGATGAATAAGTAGAGTAATACATTTCTTCCTCAGTCGAAGTAGAAGGTATAGCGATCCATAAACAGACACAGAGGCTTCATTATTACCTTCAGTTTGCAATATACTGAGGTTTTCTGTATCAGTAACTATATGAGTAACATAAGAGAAAGCTTATGTGTGTGGATTCTTGCCCCCATCCCTGAAAACTATTGCTTGTAATTCTTTCCTGGACATGTAAGTGCATGTAACACAATATTAGGTGATGAGAACACTGATGACACTCTAGATCCATAGATTTAATTTCAATATAACTATATTTATTCATATTCATCAGTAGCACAGAACACAAAAATCAAACATCTGCTTCAGAATTCTTTCTTCTGGGATTGACAGATGATCCAGAACTACAGCTCATCCTCTTTGGACTCTTCCTATCCATGTACCTGGTCACAGTGCTTGGAAACCTGCTCATCATCCTGGCTGTCAGCTTTGACTCCCGCCTCCACACCCCCATGTATTTCTTCCTCTCTAACCTATCCTTCACTGATATCTGCTTCATAACAAGCACAATTCCCAAGATGCTAAAGAACATACAGAGTCAGAACAAAGCTATCAGTTACACGGATTGTCTTACACAGTTGTTCTTCGTTGTTTTTCTTGGTGGAATGGAAAGCTTTCTTCTGGCAGCAATGGCTTATGACCGCTATGTGGCCATCTGCCATCCACTTAGATACACAGTCATTATGAATCCAAGCTTCTGCATTCTGCTGACTTTATTCTCCTTGCTCATTAGCATGACAGATGCCCTACTCCACAGTCTGCTGGTATTACGACTATCCTTCTGCACAGAGCTGGAAATTCCCCACTTCTTCTGTGAACTTGCTCATGTCATCAAGCTGTCCTGTTCTGACACCCTCATCAATTATATAGTGATATACTTGGCAGCTTGTATATTTGGTGGTCTTCCATTTGGGGGCATTATTTTATCTTATGTTCAAATTGTCTCCTCAATTTTGAAGAAACCATCAATGAGAGGTAGTTATAAAGTCCTTTCCACATGTGGGTCTCACTTGTCAGTTGTTTCCCTGTTTTACGGCACATTGTTTGGTGTCTACATCAGCTCTGCAGTTACTGACTCTCCCAGGAACACAGCAGTGGCTTCAGTGTTGTACACTGTGGTCCCTCAGATGCTAAACCCCTTTATCTACAGTCTGAGAAACAAAGATATGAAAGAAGCTTTCAGGAAAATAAGTGCTGAGATTGTGTGACAGTGTATTTAAACAAAGCTGTAGTTACCTATGAAAACTAACTTCTATTTTAACATATGACTTGTTATATGTTATATTCTGTCTATATTTCTACTGTTAGGTTAAAATAGCCATATAGTATAATTTCTGAGGCTTAATACTGACAAATATTATCCTTGTTAGATACTAGCCTATGAAATTGATATAATTAGATAATGTTAATAAATTCAATAAGATTCATTGTTTTCAAAACGTTATTAACATCTCTTCAAGCATTGTAATACAATGAAATTCTAGCAATAATACATTATAACAAGCAAAGCTGTGTGTTATGTCAAGAATGTTAGAGATAGGGAATATATTGGAACAGAGACTATGGCTTCAATTGTTCCTTCAAAAAGTGGCCTTTTCCAGGGCTCGGTCCTCATCCAGACCACAGGTCATGGAGGTAAATTCAAGTATCATATGTGAACATGATATCAGAGATATTTTTGTTAGTAGGGTAACATGGTTAGGTAGAAGTCTGGAAAAGTCTGAGAGGCTTATGGAGAAGGCAGATATGATCAAAACAGACATTAAAATAATAATAATTACTAAATATATATTAAAACTTTAATAATATTTTATTCTAATCATCATAGTCATAACAATGCCATTTTCCTTAAACCTCATAACATTTTACTGTACTTTTATTGATTAAATTTTAACTGAAAATTTTTAAGAGATCATCATTAGTGAAGAATGTACCTTTGTAATGAACTAAATGATTTTACTTAAAATATGGCCAAATCATGCCACAATGACATGAGGTTTACCTTTATAATAAATGAAGAACTATATATGTGAAATAAGGAGATATGAACAATAAGAACCTTCTGTGGATTACCAGGCTTGTCCTTGGATGTGATCATACCTTTTTTTAAGATAGGCCTTAGTATGGAAGTATTGGAGAAATTCAGACACAGACACAAATATAAAATGTGGATTGCTGAAGATACTGGTTGATTTCTAATAATTTCTCATGTTGTCCTACAAATCTCATATTTTAGTATTAATATATTTATTTTAGACACAGACTTTTACTGTATAAATATGCTTTTAACCATTAAAACTCAAACTCAGTAGAGTAAAACAATTCCATACTCTGCAGAATCATCATTGCTCAGAAAACTATTACATCTTATCAGTTATCAGTATGTACACTTTTAATGATCTGTAATTTTTATGTGTGAAGGTGGTTGAGACGGGGTTTCTTTGTGTATTCTTGGCTGTCCTTGGACTAGCTCTGTAGATCAGGCTGGCCGTGAACTAATTATCTGGATTTTAATGGTATGTGCTGAAATTAAATTTAAGTACTGTTTCTCATTGGAAAAAAAAATTGATAGCATTTTGTCTCATTTGCAACTGTGCTAGCTAGTCTTCTGTAAACTTGACAGAAGAGTTTTTTGAAAAGAGGGACAATCAATTGAGAAAATGCCTCCATAGGATCCAGCTGTAAGGTATTTTCTTAAGTAGTGATTGTTAGAGGAGGACCCAGCTGTTCATTACGGCTGGTGCCATCCCTAGGCTGGTGGTGTGGGGTTCCAGAAGAAGCAGGCAGCATTCATACTGTCAGCAGTTGAGGCAAGGGCAGTTCTTTGCCTAGTAGGCCATTTTGTGCCAAGAAGACAAACTCCTAAATGGAAATGTCTTAGAATCCCAACGTTCTCTCGGGATCAAATTGGTGCTGCCAGGAGCAATTGTGTCTCACGTCAACAGAATTCTAAGTTATTTAAATGTCATATTCTCTAGGTCCATGAAGTGTTTGAAGATTACCTGTCCATCCGACCTATGTATCTATAAATCTGGATAACATAACTAGCATAACTATAGAGATGACAAGCATAGGTGACTATAAATCTCTAAGTCTTATCTACCGAAATAACCTAAGGACTAAGGCTTCATATAAACAAGGTAAACAGTCTATAAGCAAATGTATGGTAAAGGACGATGACTTCAAAATTGTGAAGAACACAGAAAATATTTATAACAGAGGTAGGAATATATAGTGTAATATGCAATATGACAATAATCTTAAATATATATTAATATACATAATATCCAAAACAGAAGTAGAACATACATATGGCATAAAGATAAAAAATTTGCATTTGTATCAATATACAAATATTTCAAATAAGAGTAGAAATATATGTACATTATAATAAATATAGTTCTGTATTTGTATCAATATACAAATTATCTTAAACAGGAATATAAAAATAGTTTATATTTGTATCAACATATAAGAATCCATAACAGTACAAATTACAGTGCAAATTATCTAAGGCTGCTATTTTACTAAATTTGTTTACTAGTATATACAATAATCTACCATAATATCTTATACCTATCCATTCCATTTCTTCTTTCCTCTTTTTTTAGACACTTTTTCTTTTCTTAAGGAGAATACTGAGTTTAATATTTTTTCACCCCCAACCCTATAACCATCATCCATAACCCTGAGAAATATAAAACCTTAGGGAGAAGGGGTGTTGTTTTTAGAATTGCTTCCTGCTGTTTAGGGGGTGATGGTATCTCTGTTGGGTACTGTGAGAAAACGCAGATAGTTAAATCTGTTAGACTAGCTGTAGATTCCACAGCAAGTCTTAGAGTAATGAGTAACATTGTTTCAAATTCTGGCAAGAAGTGCAGTATGATGATGATTACCATGGCATCATTCTGGATTGGGTAGAGTTGTTGTTGGGACCCCATCTTCCTTCAGGAGACTTCAGAGATTGCTACTGGAAAAACTTATTTTTTTTATCAAAATGGAAAGTTTGGATTTAAAGAGGACATAACATTCTGAGAAATCAAGAGTAAGCATGAAGAGATTAGGAATCTTGAAGATAATGGTTCCTTTTTATTGGTTTCCTTCTGTCCCACCCAGAGGTCTCTTCTGATACGGGACTGAAGAATCTCTCAACCTTTTCTTTTAGCAATATGCTTGGGTTTAGAGGAGTGAGTCTATTCCATCTCCAAAGCCAGATTGGTTTATAGTTGAATTGGAACCACTACTTTTCTCCATTGATAGAGATATAGATGTTAGGCAGTGAGATTTTACCCTGTGTAGTTGGTACCAATAGATTCTTCCTTTCTGCTGTAAACATCTGGATATCCAAGGCCTTATGATTTCTGGAAGATGGGTATTTCCATTATACTGGAAAGACAAAAACAGAACCCTACCCCAACCTTTGATTGTTAAATTTTTCTTACAACTTGAAGAGATATCACACTGGTGGATGATCTTTTACTTCTCCTCATCAAGGGCTTTCTCCTGTTTGAATTGAATTTTTATTAATTTTTTTGGTATCCATAGCTTTTCTTCTCCTGCAGTAACAAAAGTAAAACCCCTTCCCCAACATAGGACATATCCAGGTTTCTATTCTGAGGTCAGCACATCTTTGAAATAAACCGGTTGGTTTAGCTCAGGAGTCTTGTCTATTGTTCAATGTCTCTCCACAGCTGTTGTTCATTTTTCATCAGCATTGAGAAAATTCAATGTTAATAAAGCACTATGCAATCTATTTCTAGGAGTCATTGTTACCTGTTGCTGTTTATTTAGCATATCCTTTAAAGTTCAATTGGATCTTTCTATGACTGCTTGGCCTGTGGGATTGTGTGGTATACCTATAACATGCTTTATATTGTAATAAACAAAGAACTGTCTCATTTTATTGGAGACATATGCTGGGGCATTGTCTGTCTTAATTTGTACAGGTATTCCCATGATGGCCATAACTTCTAATAGGTGTGTAATCACAGAATCAGTCTTTTCAGAACTCATAGTTGCCCATTGAAATCCTGAATAGGTGTCAATGGTATGGTGTACATACTTTAATCTTCCAAATTCTGAAAAATGAAACACATCCATCTGCCAAATTTCATTTCTTTGTATACCTTCTGGATTGCTCCCTGAAGGTAATGGGGTTTGGTTATAGAAGGAACAAGTAGGACATTTTTTCACAATATCCTTAGCTTGTTGCCAAGTGATAGAGAAATCCTTCTTCAAACCTTTGCTATTTACATGGTGTTTCTTATGAAATTCTGAGGCTTCTAGCACATTACCTATTAGTAACTGATCAATCTCATCATTACCTTGTGCTAGAGGTCCTCGCAGACCTGTATGGGATCTGATATATGTTATACATATAGGATGTTCCCTTTTTCTGATGATTTCCTGCAATTGTATGAATAATGAAGTTAATTCTGTATTAGCAGGAATAAATTCAGCAGTTTCAATATGTAAAACAACTCTCTCTGCATATTGAGAGTCAGTGACTATATTGAGGGATTCGGTGAAGTACATCAGTACCATAAGAATGGCATACAGTTCTGCCTTTTGTTCAGAGTTGTATGGACTTTGTACCACTTTACTTAAGTCTCCTGATTTGTATCCTGCTTTCCGTGATTTATTTGCATCAGTATAGAATATGAAGACTCCAGAAATTGGCTTTTGTCATACAATATGAGGAAGGACCCATTCAGTCTTCTTTATGAATTCTATTCTCTTGCTTTTGGGATAATGGTTTTTAATCTTTTCCAAATAGTAACTGCAGGCTCTCTGCCAGTATTCATTATCTTTCTATAGTGATGAAATTTCCTCATTAGTTAAAGGTACTACAATTTCTGCTGGGTCTACTTCTGTCAACTGGCAAAGTCTTAATTTACCTTTTTGATTCAAAACAGAGATCTCTTTATATAATTCTTTAATTTCTTATTTGGTTTACATGGTAGGAATATCCATTCCAATATCTTCCCTCTGCATCAAAATACCCGTGAGGGAATGTCTAGAGGGGAAGATGACAAGAATGCATTTAAGTTCTGGATCCACATGAACCACATGTGCTTCTCGAATTGTCTTTTCTACTAGAGCCAATTCCTTCTCAGCTTTGGCTGATAATTCTCTTGGACTATTTAACTCTTTGTCCCCTTCTAGAGTATTAGCCAAATTTTGTAGTCCTTCTTTGGGTATTTCCATG